ATGCATTTGGCTGGCATATCTCAAGAACTTTTCATCTTATGGACTTCTCATAAGAAGAAGAATTAGATGTGATTTCGACATGTGATACATTTAACATTAAGCTTTGAACAAACAGTCGAGCAGCGAAACTTCTGTAGCAGCAGCGGTACAAGTGACAAAGACAACTTCATTCCCAACAAAGAGTGCGTTCATGGCAAAGGCGATGGATTCCCCAGTTCAGGGTTTTGTGAGTCAAGCATAATCCAACTTTGAATAAACAGGTGAACAGCTCTTTGAGCAGCAGCGACTTCAGGGTTCTGCAGACTGAGTCCTGCAGCCGGTCTGCTGCAGCTCTCTTTCTCAGTTTAAAAAACAAGGCGGCAACCAGAATCACCACAGGCCAAGCAAACAGTCCATTCCAAACGAGGGGTTGGGAAATTATACTGCACTAGTTGAAATAATAAAAAAATGAACTAATTCATCAGCTATAGCCTGTTTGTTCAGTTTATCAGAAAATACCAACTGATTCTGTTGAAGACATGTACTTAGGTGGTAAACAAATGACTTTTAATTCATTCGTTGGCATTTTGAGGTCAGGCCTTTACTCCTCTTGTCACCTCATGTTCTCTCTCACACAGGAGGCTCTTTGGATGCACAGAATGTACCAGCACCAGCTTGTGTGTGCGTGGGTGGTCCCATGGGGTGTGCGTTTGGGCACAGACCTAACTGACCCCTTATGTTGTTTATCAGGCCCTAATTCAGCCCCGTGGCATCTGGGCATCACTGCAGTCTCAGGAAGCTGTGAAGCACAGTAGTGGGGTGTCTAGCCGGGTGTGTTTGGGTGGGGCATGGACATATGCATGTGTGTGTATATATTTACAGGGGAGTGGTGGTTGTCCCCACCCTAATATGGCCTATCATGATTTCCCCACTCCCCTAACAGAGCATCCATCTGGACACAAGTAGGCTCATTGTTTTGACACTCACAGTGTGGTGCTGTCTGGAGAGGAGAGGAGACACCGCTCTTCACTTCCGTAATTGTGCTGAACATGATGCAATGGGACGGACGTGTGTATAATGTATGAGTGTTTGTATCTGCGTCGCTTTGTGGTCAATTTAAAGTGTTTCAATCAATCACTTGTAATAATCCTTGAGATTTTGCCTAAGCTGAATGATAAACCTCAATTGTTTTGTTGTATCAACAGAGTTGATGTGATACCATTGCGAAGGCCCTGCTCACCATTCCTACAGTCCCAGCTGAGGACCAGAGGTGGCCGGGCCATTTTCAGTGGGGGTCCCCACTCTATGGAACAATCAGGAGATCTGTCTGACAAACTCCTTCTCCTCTTTCACATCTTTCTTAAAGACACATTTTTGTGATTTCTATGATCTTTGTCCTGATAATTTTATGATGTATTGTTTGATCTTGTTTTTTTTCTTCTCATCTGTAACATTTTTTATTTTTGTATCAGTGCTCTAATGCTGTGTGATCTTCTCATTGCTTTTAATTGTTTCCAATTGTTTACTATTAGGCCTAATGAACATATTTTCCATTTTTCTTAAAGGAACAGTGTGTAGAATTTAGTGATATCTAGAGTTGGAATTCCATGTTGCAGCTGAACACCCCTCACCTCACCCTCCCCTTCCAAACAGGAAAAAGAAACTGTGGTAGCTTCAGTTGTCATAAAAACTCAAAAGTTGTTTAGTTTGTCCAGTCTGGACTAATGTCAAAAAGATGGTGGCCTCTGTAGAAAGGACCCCCTCGATGTAAATATAAAGTAAAGAAAACTACAATTCATACAATTTAGATGTAATAATCTAGTGAAAACATCATGAGGATTATTCTACATTAAATTTCTGCCAATAGTTCCCTTTCACCTAAATCTTACACACTGGAGCTTTAAATTCCTCTCGTCTGCAAAAATGGAAGAGTAATACATGATGAGCAGGCCCAAACTAAATTTGCAGATTTTTTTAGTTTTGTACTCGAGGAAAATCTGTGAAATGTTTTAATATAATGTGTTAGGTAATACTCATTAAAGATAACAACGATTGTTAATGCAACTGATCCCACGGGGAGATATTGAGATATTTTTAACCATTAAATTTGATCTTAAAAAATCTAACATCTGCAGAGGCGTAGTCAGAATTCCACAGGTGGCGCAGGCCTGAATGTATACAGGAGCTTTATTGGTCCCCCAGAGGATCAACAGTTTCACATCCTGCATTGTCATTTGGGTTTTAATATACTACAGTTAAACAATGAACAACGCACAAGTCAAACTACCACAGAATCATCATGTGTAACACAAATCACATCACACTGAAGGTTTCTGGAGCCAGATGGAGGCTTCATTACTTCATCTGAAGTCGTGACAACCACAAAATGCACTGAGTCACAGTATCGCTCATAGTTTTTATTGTTTATATATCAGGAACGTTGCCAAATAAAGTGCCATATCACATTCACTGACGCCAGGACAGGATTACAACGTTGTAAATACTTTATATGGAAGCTACACCTAGTGATATGGAAAACTTAAATGATCCTAGACACGGACAGTCCAGTTTTCATTCTCTCCACACACCAACACAACCCCTGATGTGTCTCACTGGGCCTCAGTCAAATGAAAGTTGATGGTGATTGATTGATTTTTGCTGTAGTTATTATTCTCCTTTGAATACCACAGAGATGTCAGAACTTTACTCTCCCTAAAATGACATTTAGATGATTTTCTCTACAACTATTCAAACATTCCTTAAAATCTCAAACAAAATCATTTGGTGCACACATTCTTGACAGTAGCTGATTTATATTGTTTTCCCCAGAGGAGTGATGTGTTTTTTGCATATTTTATTTTGTATCTGTGGATATAAATGCAGTCAAGGCACATTGGCTGCTCTCGTGCACACAAAGTCCGCCGGTTGCCTGGATACTCACAGTGCAACATAAACGCCATGTTGTGTTAAGCCATGTTCTAGTTTTACCAACATGACCAGGACACAGATGTGGCATCATATGTTTGTCCTGTGGATTTCAGAGTGAAGGACTTTTTGGTGGTGAAGTGAGCAGCTGTAGTCACATTGAAACAAAGTTGAAAACTAGAACACAAACAATCTTTGTAGCAGCTGCCTCAACCTTTCTTGGATTTGACCCGTTAAAAAGGGAACTCCACCAATTTATTCCAGTCTCTTACAGAGACACAAGTCGTGCAAAGTATTCGGTGGCTCCTGTGTGAAACCTGATAAGTGTCCTCATGAGAGGTCACTTGATGTCACTGTGGGTGTGGAAAAAGGAAGAGATGAGCTAACCAGCAACCTGCTTCTCATCTCTGCTCCAGGCTGCATTAGCCACTGACACACCCGATTCTCTGACTGATCTGCAGCTGAGATGCATTGTGGGTAATGTAGGTCACAAGAGGACTGTATGAAATAAAACTGACCTAAACAGAAATTGTGATAATGGTGACATGTCACGTACACGGTGTTTTCACAGTTAACACAAACTCAGGAAATGCAATAACGAAAGAGAGAAAAGAGGAGTCAGGAATATCAACATTTTCCTCAGAGGTTTTTGAAGAACTGCACAACGCAGAAATGTCCGGGGGCTCCTAAAACCAAGAAATTCAAAGATCTTATTTCAAGTGATATGTTGCTTTAATTTTGCATTAATTAGGCTCTCAAGATCTCAAGAATTGATGTGCTTGAAATGACTGTTGGATAATGACATCTTATCAAGTGAAACTCAATAACCTCAGTGGCAGCCAAATTAAATGATAATTTGAATTTATTACTACTTGTGAGCCATTTGAAATCTCAGAGATCCAAAGTTGTAAACATGCAGAGAAGGAGGGTTCACGGTTAATGCGAACCAATTTAAGAGCAGAAAAAAATAGTTATTTTTTAAAAATTGTGCAGCGCTATGATAAATTGGTGGAGCACTCTTTTAAGATAAAGTGGCTGCTGACATCCCACATGTCATCTGTGAATTGTGAGCAGAGTATTTTTCTCTTGACAGATTGTTTGACTTTTTTAAGAGGTAAAAACTATGCAGTAAGAAGCAAGAGTTGGAGAACAGTTGGAACAATAGAAATAATTTGGGGTAGCAGAATTTAGTTTCCTGCGAGTCACCATCTCACAGGACCCTTGTAGAACTTTGGAAACTGGCTCAACCACGAGTTCACATGTAATCAAAACGACATACTGTATTTATAGCGTGTGAATAACAAAATATAGTTTTTAAAGAAATCTGTGTGTTTTCAAAATGAAAACACAAAGATGTTCTCCTACACGTCACTCTATATTCCACAGAACAAACCCTCCCTTGTTATGGCCTCAAACAGAACGATGCATACATTTTGTGTCAAAGGAGTCTACTCTCCACTTGACATTTCTATCCAGTGCTTCCACATTTCCTGTGCTTCCTCATTTGCATGTATGCCATCTATTCACACATACAGTACACTCACTATTATCTTTCATCGTCATGAAAAAAGACAAAAAAGGCACCAGTCAGTTTTTCCTGCTCGATCAACATTAAAGTTCTGTGGCATAGGTCCTAATCTATGAAACTGTTCCACAATGTCATGAAATTATCAGCAGCATTAAGTTCTTTGCATTAAAATGCTCAAGTCATGATCGTGGTATAATGTGAAATGAGTGTGTATGGATATTCTCGAACTTAAAGACAACTTAAAGAATGACGTGGACTGTCATGCACAAACATGAAAAAATGAGCTTCCGTTTCTTAAAATACAGTTTTATTTGTGAATGTACACTGATTAGCAATACATCTAAAAGCAACTCCATTAGATAACCATTTATATAGGATTTTCACAGGTCACAAAGTAGCTTGGCTCATTCTGGCATGCCAAAGCAAAACTCGATCTTTTTTTTTCTTTTTTTTTTTAACAGAAAAAAAGGTGGATAGAGGCATTAGTAAAGCAAGGTGCAAACAGCTGGAAACAGAAGAGGAGAAAATAAAAAGGATGCAATGCATATTCAGTTCATCTGGAAGCAACGTATGCTCATAAAATGGCTGATTAAAAAAAAAGTCTTGTGCCCTTTGCAAAGTAAGAGATGAAAAAGAAAGCGTACTGCGATACAAATGGAGGATGGGAAAAACATTTTCAGGAGAGATGGTTTGAAAGAAAAAAAAAGAGACAAGTCTGCGTGATGAAAACATGGTGCGTTAGTCAGGTTGTCTTTACCCCGTGCCCCGTCTCTACTTCTCTGTCACTCTCTCACACTCACACTCGCTCGCACACACGCGCACACACACAGATGCACTTTAATTTCCAAACTCACACCTCTCTTCTCCATCACTCACTTGTGTGACCTCAGCTCCTCGCCTTAAGCCGAAAGCGCCAAACATGGCTAAAGATGAGTCTCGAAACCCTCCCTCTATCCCTCCGTCCAAATCCAATACTTCACATTGCTAGCTGGGATATTGGTATATCTGGTTAAACTCCGGGGGAGGGAAGATGTGTGTCAACCCATCACGCTTTTGCAGAGTTCAACTATGGGTCGTCTGATGGTTGCACCACAATCTTGTTTGCAGGAGAAATTACATGAGGGGAGGCTTTAGAAACTGAAAAGACGACCGGGCTTGCAGAGTGATATAAAAAAAAAAAACTGTCCATACGACCTCACTCAAATGGTTCCAGTACCATTAGAAAGTTAATGACAAAATTAAGCGAGGAAGTGTAGCTACTGTGAATGTAGCTACTGAAAACAAGAGTTTTTTTTGGGGGGGGGGGGAAGCCTGAGAGATGTGAATGCAGTCACTGGGGTGATTTAACATAAGTCTTATAAGGGTCCTTGACGGCTGCACAGGCAGACGAGATTTGCAACCCTTGTCTCATCATTTAAAAGAAAATTAAATGGTGGAAAAAAAATTACAATATGGCTTTAAAAACAAACACACAAACACACCAAAAACAAATGTCACCACTCCACAACCTGTGATTCTCATTTCAGCAAATGACTGCGGACAGTTCGATGCAGTATTTCAATGCTACACTCCCTGTTTTCTGTTATTTCTGTTGACTTACTGATCACTTCTCATGTGCGACACCGATGAAAGATTTTTCTTTCTGTCTTCATGTGACTCACTTTCTGGGCCCCTGACTATGCCTTGCTTTGCTACTTTTACCAAATACTTCACAATCTCCTTCACTGGTGAAACCACCTGCATCTAAAATGTGTTACATACCATGAGAAAAGTGCAGCACAATAAAATAAAAAATATATAGTTAAAAATCTATAGCCAACATATCCAGTTTTCATGTTATATAGTAGATTTGTGTACTCTGAAGACTAGAATATAATTTGAGCAATCAGGCATCACTACAGCCGTAGAAATTCAGCTCTCGCAAAAAAGAGAAAACATGCGTAACATCCGTATTCTCTGTAAAAGCTTAAAAATGAGTACAAAACATAGTCCACTAATACCAAATTTGTCTTCAGTAAAAAAGTTTAAATTTCATGAGATGACAAACTAAGAGTGAAGCTTTACTAAAATGATAGTTTTTTTTCCATTCTTTCATTTAGTTTGGCAAAAAACACTGAGATGAAGAAAAGACATGAAAATGCTACATAAATATATTTATTAGGTCGGCAGCTCGTATGAGATAATGTCGACTTGGCCGTGACGGACCAGCAGCCTTCATCCTGACCCTCTAGTCCAGTTTGTTAACTCGTTAACTCGTCAAACACCATCGGCCGAGGAGAAGGTTTGTATCTTATGCCTGCGTCTAAAGAAGCCTGAAGAGTGTGAAGCGAGGCGGAGAGATAAACTACCCTCACAGTAAATGAATCAACACAAACCCATTCCAGTGTGAATTCAAATTTCATGTGGCCGTTCGGTTCCCGATGAGTCAGGTGACCAGAATGTGAAAAAAAACAAAAACCTGAAAAGACCCGGAAGCCTGGACAGATTTAAAGAAAAAGGTTTTAGTTTCGACTCTGAGCAGTTTTACAACATTCAGGTTGCAATCCAATCATTTCATAAAATTGGATTTTGAAGCAAGAGATACGCTCTGTGGTTTCAAGTTCGGATTTTCAGACGAGGGGAGACAATTCAGGAGGAGCCAGTTCCTCAGGATCTAAATGGCCTCAAATGGCACTTGCTGGCTTCTATGGAGCCCTGTTAGAGAACTGCATGGGTGTTTAGTTGTGTAGACCAAACATCTATCCACTGCAGTTTTAATATGTGTACCCCCACAATCATCCCAAATTCCCCGAACATACTGTCGTCGTTACAAACCAATTCTTTTTTTTCTGTAATCCTTTCTTTTGCCTTTTGCACATAAAACCTTTTGTTAAAAAAATCTAATAAAATTAAAAACATGAAAGGACATTAAAAACAGAGACAAAATAAAAACACAGACGCTTTAACAGAAACGTCCCTCACTCTTCTACACAGAAGGATTTCCCCGCCTGCCTCGCTACTTTAATCTCAGGCTTCCGTCTTCTTTTTGTTCTTCTTCAGGAAGGAAGGGGTGCGGAACTTCTTCTTCTTCTTGGTGTTGGGGGATTTGGAGGGCGAGCTCTCGGGAGACAGCGCCTCCTCGATCTTCTCGCCGGAGCGCACTGTTATTTCCACGCTCTCCACGCTGGTGGTCAGCTGGCTGACGCGCTTGGTTAGCTCCTCGTCCGCGTCCCTGTGGTTGTCTTTGCCGTTCATCAGGCCCGCGTGGTTCTCTGAGGGAGGAGTACGACACAGGTTAGGTGAGGGCAAGAAAACACAGGAGGGGCCTTCATTCTGCAAACCACACCCTTTAACAGACAGCAACCACAATCATACATAATCATAGGACTAACAGATTAAGATAAAACATCTGATCAATTTTTACTGTGGGGCACTACAGTCTGGAGCTTACAGTTAACACATCAATTGCATTTTCTAATCAAATTGTTTAAGAAAGTCAGAATTGAACAGAATTTTTGTTTGTTTTTATCATAGAATTTGGACGTGCAATACTTTCAATATTAATACAATTTAAAGAATCAGACGACCAGCGCTCTGTAGCAGCAGCAGCTGGGACTCTGTGACGTTGTCGATCATGACAACTACGTGTTCTTGACAGCAGGCACGTTCACGGCAACGACAACTGATTCTCCAGTTCAGGTTCTGCTCCACTGAGCTTTGAATGAACAGGTGACCAGCTCCTTGTGCAGCAACAGTGATGCAGCTTCAGGATTCTGTGAACTGAGTCTTTATTTGCTGCAGCTAAGTCTCTGCAGGTCACTTTTACAGTTTCAGAAAGAAAAGCTGACACCAGCATCACCACAGCCCATTCCAAACGGACAGGTTTAGAACAAGCCCAGTTTTACATAAATTCTATACCACTTCATAATGTATGCTTTATATTATAATAAATTATCATATAAAAATGTATAAAAACTAACGCATTCTACATAAATAATGTTGCAAATAATTTTTTTTATATCTAACAAATCATTTCTGTAAGCTTCTTAACATTTACCCTCATGTAGTAAATTCATAGCATATATTGGGTTCATGTCTTGTCAAACACTATATACTTGTGTCAACACCTGTAAGACATAGTTTCTAATAGAGCAGAGCATTAAAAGCTTCAGCAGAGCAATAACAGTTTGATTTACTGCAGGACCATTGCATTGGGCTCTATTAAATCCTACAAGTGTTGTGCTTGAATGTCTCTCAGCCTCCTGATGCGAGGCTCCTCTGTCCCTGACACACTAATTCTTTTTCGAATGTGTATTCAGCTTCACGGAGACGTGCAGTCCCTGTGCTCTACATATTTCGTAACATGCCTGCGTAAGGCCCCAGTGACCTAATAGCCCAGTGTCTGTCCTCCTTTCACCTCAGAAAAAAAAAAAGGGCTTTGAACAGTGGACTACACCCACACTGCCTTAACGACTCCTCACCAAACAGGCCTACTGGTGTGGCATCCTTTTCTCTGGGCTGCGAATGGGAGTTACATGGGGAATGCGAGGCAGTGGCGTCATGTTACTACACTGAAACACAAAGCCGATGATGACTTCATCTTAGCACAATAAGTAAAAAAATAAATAAAAATGGAGCCTTTTACAATAATTGACCTGAATTCAAACACAACGACTCACTGACCTCACAGCGATGGCGTCAGAAAATATGGGTCCCCTGTGTCGGTGCGCTGTCCTGGGTTAATTGTTCCTCATTGTGTGGTTTTTGCGTGTTTGTGCTGGAGGGAAGCTGACAGGAAGTCAATCCCATAGTGTCGTTATTTACAACCTGCACTGTGGCCGCTGTGATCTTTGTCTTTCTTGGAGGTTCAAATGTCAGACACGAGAATGTCTGTGTAACAGATGAAAGTTCTATTGTCTTTTTTCAGATATATGATCTGCTGAAGTCATAGTTTGATACTTTATTGTTATTGTGCGATATTAAACACTTTTATGGCTTTTTGTATTTTCGAATGATTCTGTGATTTCATAGATATTTATATATATTCTTTCATATTTTTGGCTTGTTTAGCACTTGAGACAAATGTGGTTGTTTTAAACGTGCTGTACAAGTAAATAAACTTTGACTTGACTTTTTTGTTTCTTGGCGAGAGCTTGGAGAGAAGATCGATACCACTCTCACGTCAAAGCCTTAAGTGTAGAACTGGAGGCAGGAGGGACTTAGCTTAGCTTCGCATTAAGACTGAAAAACTGCTGCCTGTCATTAAAAAGTTAGAACATTTGACTGACATTGTTACGACAAATTAATGTTTTGATGATTTGGTTTATTTATAGCCTGATTTTGAACTGATTTCTGAGTTGCGTGACTCATTTAACACTTAAAAGACTGAATTTCAACTTCGCTGTATGTTGTATAGGGGGAATGCGAGGAGCGATCAGTTCCTCATCGGACATGTCAGAAATTTGACACCTATGATCAGGCAGCTTGTTTCTCTCTTGTTAGTATTGTTGGGAAACAAACTTCAACTTCTTCTTTGAAAAGAACACCAGCCTGTAACTGGTCCGGAGGAGGTGGGGACAATGTACTGTGTGAGTGGTTGGATTGTGTCAGACGCTTGGACTGTAGTCTGAGCTCATCAACATTTCTACAGTCGCACTGGGCGGACGGGCTTTCATTATCAACAACAGAAATGTGAAAAAAGCACAAAGGAGGTCTTTATAGTGGAGATGGGAAACTGTTCTCTGATTTTTTTGTCAAGACAAATCATTAATGCAGAACAAACCTATAACACAGATCAGCAGTGTAGTGTAGTGCATTCAATTCTGAGCTCAGTTAGTTCATTTCATTTAGTTAAACGTACACTTCTCATGCACACACGTCAGATCTTAAAGACAAACACAGCATGACAGTGAAGATCATTCTGACAAGTGTCTCTCAGTCCCTCTGTGAGTGAGTGATACCTTCTTTAGCCGGAGTGCTTTGCGGGGACTGGGTGAGAGACAGAGACTGAGAGAGAGTGGAGCCGTCGTCGGAGGTTAGCTCGTGCTCGCCATCTGCGGGGGTTGGAGGGTTGAGGGACAGGGCAGGGGATTGGAGCGGAGGGACGACAGCACGGGTGAGTGGGATGAGAGGTTGGGGTGGTGGTTATGGAAGGATTTGGTATGATGGGTCAGAGGGGGGTGAGGGAGTGGGGGTGGGGGGGGTGAGAGATTAGTGGTAACACACATGTTAGAATCAGGCCATGCACAGCTGCTTTTCCACAAAATTTCACCAAATCCCTCTGATGATGGTCAGGACCTCTGAGTGCCATCACTCGTTTGTGCGCTGCAACATTTTGTTGATCTATAATAACCCGAAGATGGGACAGATGTCCTGAAAAGTAACTTAAGCATCGCAGGTTTGATCCCCAGAGCAGCAAATGTATCCTTTTGCTACATGCTAACACTCAACATGTAAAAAAACAAGACAATTGATTGGCTTTTAGGGACAGAGTCTTAAAATCAGACAGAATCAAGAAAAAAACCTCACAGATTAAAAACATTGTGATATTCTTGACCACATTATGTTGTCCAAAATTGTGTCATTGAGATAATCAACATTATAATGAGGCTGTTGCAATTTCAATTTAATTAATGCCTGAAAAAGAAGATTTTTAAAAAGCCTCCTTCTCCTTTTTTTTTAAAATTTCCCTTCCTGTCATCATTTCTTCATCTTCAAGAAAACCCATCACATTGTGGTTCCTGACTCTTAATGCAGGACAAACTCATAGTACATCTCTTGATTATTAAGAACCAGTTTGCAGCAGCTTTTCAAACCATGTTTGTAAGTGCAGTATATGTTACAGACCAGTCCAGCATTAGCAGCTTCATTAGTTAAACACTGAGCAGTGTGAATGAATAGCATTCCCATGGGCACATTCAGGGTTACACATTCAGGGTTACACACTGGCTGAGATGTCACAGTCACAACTCCATCATGGAGAGTGTGTCGCACACGATTACATAAGATTCTGTGCTGTCAAAGTCTTCATATGTGAAAATAAAAAGTGTACACGTAAAAAGACGCCGCATAAAAAATTATAAGATTAGAGAAATTCAATTCACAGCTGTTCTTTTTGAGGTTTAAAGTTGGAAACATTACTCAACCCAATACACACAACTATTTAGAATTGCCCTCCAGGGACAAATAAAGTTGTTTTGAATTTTTGAATTGAATTTTGTATTTACAGAAGGTAGTTTTAAATTGACAGCGTAATATGCACATACACGATATGTGCGTCAGTTATCTCAGCTTTGATTTTATTTGTGTAAAATAATCACATTTTAGTTTACATTATTTATACAGAGAGCGGACTACACACCACAGGTTAACACTGTGTGTGTGTGTGTGTGTGTGTGTAGCCCAGGCATCTATCAGGCCATTCCAGACGGTCTCCAGCTTGCATCCAGATTGGTCACCGGGGATTCATGGGGCTGTGGGGGCATCAGTGTCATAGCAACGGGCTCCACTCATGTGGCGGGTGTGAAGACCTGCTGTCTGCTCGATCTGCCATCTTAGTCATACCGACCTCTCACTCACACACATTTACACTTTCCACTGTGTTTCATGTGCACGTAAGAACACTTTGATGATTCCATAAAAACACATGAACACATGCGCATGCTGATGTATACGTGTGTACACACACACACACACACACACACACACACACATTTGTACTTATATCTTAGTGGGGACACTCACTAGCCCCTTACACTTACCCTAACCATCCAAACTAAATGCCTAACCCTAACCCTTAACCTAACCTAAACCTAAAACCAAGTCTAAACCCCTAAACAGTCCATTAAAGTTGGGTCAGAAAGTGAGGACCAGCCAAAATGTCCTCAATTTCCCAAAATGTCCTCACTCTGTAGGTTGTAGGCTCAAACTGGTCCTCACAAAGACAGCTGTATAAGAGCACGAGCACACACACACACACAAACACACACACACACACACACACACACTGACATATATACAAATTACAAATACACACATTCATCTAGTTGAACGTGGAAGCAGCTCTACACAATGAGGACTGGTGGGTAACCCCATTTACTATCTATACTATTGATTTTTCCCTTGTCTCTCTGAAAGGCAGTGGGACAGAGGGCTAATATGATTAGCACTGACTGTGTGTGTGTGTGTGAGTACAGGAGGTTAATGCAGCAGATGAAGGCATTGGTAGAGCCCGTGGGGACAAACCCTCATGTTAAAAGGAATATGTGTGTGTATGTGTGTGTGTGTGTGTGTGTGTGTGTGTGTGTGTGTGATACCAGGCAGTATTAGAGTATAGGACTGTCCACTGGGACTGCTGCTAAGGCAACTGTGCTACAGACCCTGGATTATATGGACGTTTTTAAAAACCAAAACAGCTGACAGAGAGAACACAGCAAACTGAGGATGTGCAGTGATAAATCTGCAAGTCATGGTTTGGGGAGATGTTGGCACAGATGTTTGAATATAGAATATTTTAGAAATCCTGATTTAGTTTAAGCTAATTTGAAATCTGATTTTAACAGCTAGGACACTGCAAATATCTGCTTGTTAGGGTTGTGTCTATTCTTGCAGTTAAAGTCGAGTGGGGAAGTCTATTGACAAGTCTTATCAGTATTCAATTTGACTTATAAGATATCCAAATTCTAAATTTCTAAATATTTAATTTAAATTATTATTTCAATGACAGTCAAAGTAACAATCATCTTTCTAATTTGACAGTCTATTTAAACAGTTAAGCAAAAATATATCATTAATAACGATACATCTAAACCCAATATATTAAATTATATAAAACTGCACTACAATTGCTTTCCGCTGACATACACATGGATAAAGTAAGTATTGGCTGGTTACAGTGGCCCTGCTGATACATCAGTTGTGCTCTAATACAAACTGCCAAAGACTGAAAGCACACATTTTATTTAAAGATCTGCTACTCAATCAAATCTAGTGACACAATTCATCCTGATGGCTCAAATTCATCTCATGTGCGCTTCAAATTGAGCCTTACAGATTGATTATTGATCCGATATTAAGCCTGGTCAATAGTTTGTTGTGAAATGAACATTCAGATTGATAGGGCTGCTTGTTGCTGACACAGAGGGATATGTTTTTGGCACAGAGTCCAGGTCAATGTGACTGTGTGTGTGTGTGTGTGTGTGTGTGTGTGTGTGTGTGTGTGTGTTTGTGTGTGTGTGTGCGTGTGTGTGAGAGCATGTGCAGTCCATATGTCTCTGAGGGTGACTGGCCTCTTGCAGTATTTTCATCACATGAAAACCCATGATCGTCCATGCAGTTATGGACTGGTTGGTATGCGTTTGCATGTTTGTTTAAGTGTGTGTACTTTTCTGTACGTGTGCGTGTCGTACCACTGAGTCCCAGTTGCCTCCTCTCTGCGTTCTTGCGGTACTCCTCCTGGTCCTTCTCCAGCAGCTCACTGAAGGGGTTGGGAGGCAGGGGAGCCATCTGCTCCTCCTCTGTGGGCACGTATGGCTGGGGAGGAGACAAGGAGAAAGGTAAGCATGGGATCAAACACATACACCCACGTGCACTCACACACTCCCACGTGCACTCTCTCTCACACACACACTAAATTGAAGTGCAAAAGCAATGCACAAATTACACACAAATGGTACAGTGCATAGCATAAATGCATGCACACATAAATAGCTCTTACATACACACTCAGACAATGAGTTAAATACACAACCTTACAAATCACACACACACTTCATTACAGGCTTCTTACATAAAGATAAAACATGAGTGTTGACCACATCACACAGAACTCATCTAATCACCAGCTCTGCACTGAGTTTCTCATCCAATTACTGCCGACCCTGACATCTTTACAACAGACATATGAAGACAATTGTACCCACAAAACAAGTCACACACACGCAAACTAAACACACACTCTTTTTCAACATGTCGGCTCAGGCTTGCGAGTAACAATATGTCCATTGTCCAACACACATGGGAACGAAAAAGAAGTGCAAATTCATCTTAAGCAAAAATAAAACTTGTGCACATAAATTGAAATCGGTGTCAGTCTAAATAACACAACTCACACATGCAGTAATTTAATTCTGAGCAGGCAAAGAGTGTCAGATAAGTCCCCAAACATACAAGTGAGTGAAATGAAAATATCACAGCAAACATGAACAAATACAAAACTCTGGATATTTACCAGAACTTTAATCTGCACCAGATCCTTCAGGACAAGATACGAACCACAAAACCATCAACATCAACACGAGTACATTTAAATGTATTCTATCTATTATTTACTTATTTTCTTTTGATATGTGAAGCTTACTAGTTGCTACTATCAGCATAAGTGAGTCCCTCCATCTCTGCATGGTGTGCTCACTTGACTCCCCCTAGTGGTCAGGACGTGTCATTATACTGGCAGTGCTGTTTGGTGAGCTACCTGAGCACAATGAAGTAACCTCTGTTTTCACTTGTTTGATTCCATCTCTTCTCATGACTGTATCAGCTCTTGTATGAATTTTTCTTGTTTCACTGTTATGATTATTATCTCTCACCTCAGGTCATTTCCAGCACTACTTTACCAAAATGCAGCCTGAACTGATTTCCAATCATTAGTAAACACATCCGCGTTACTGCTCAGTATGGAAGTAAATAAGAAAATCTGTTATTATTGCTTCAGTGCAGCAGGACGGCTGTGAATCCTGCATAAACCACTGCATGTCCATAAACTGACACATACTGATGTGTTTATTAAAAGCTGATACCTCAATATGGAGTAAGAGTCTTTGACTCTGCCATCAAGAAATAAAACACTACAGGAAAGCAATTAGAAAAGAAATTTAAAACAGGTAAAAATGGATAAAAGTCTGGATGAAAATCAGATTTTGTAGTTTCTCAGTTTAGTTGAAAATACAGAAGTAACAGATCTATATAATAATCAGCAGCTCTTTTGCTTTTCGTCAAACTTCTGTCATCAAATAAAACACGGGTCAATGCAGCCTCTAATGTCACTGCTAGTTTCCTTTCCTACTCTTCCTTCTCGTGTAAATGACCAATAGCAGACATTAGATGTGTTAGGGCACAACAACAGTTACGTTGAAAATCAATCTAAAAAAAACAGGCTTTGGTGTCCGACACTCACGACTTTAGAAATTAGGTTATAAGGCTGTAGATTGTTAGGATTGTTTCCTAAAGTGGTGACATCACAAAGCTCATCCTCACCTGTCGTGGTGCGTCGACAGGGATTCCTGCGAGGTGCTGAGAGCGTGGACCTGACGTCATCACATCAAACCGGTTCTGCTCTCTGATCTGCAGCAGGATAAAACACACCGGGATGTTATCAGCAAAGAGGGAAGCACCACAAGTGACTGTGAATCATACTATGGTCACAGAAAAAAAGATCTTTCCACGTTCAGTCTCATCATTTTGATGATTGATTTTAAATGTTTAACCACTTAAATGGCAGCGAATCACTACAACTATACGTGTGTAAAATTTCATCCTGAGCAAGAGGAAAGAGTTAAAACTCACTTTGTTCCTCTTCAGTAGAACCTCACTGGGGTCTGTGTTGAGAGGGACAAACTGATTGGGGTCCTCGATCCTGATCGGGGTTCCTGTCTCTTCCGCCTTCATCCACTGTCAAAGGTCAAAACAGGTCAGATCGGAACATACAAACTGCAACCAAGCACTTCTAAACACTCTATTGTCTGCCAACTGGATACAATCTCTATTCTGTAATCTGTCTAGTTCACATATTCTTAATATAAATCATGGAGAGTTTCTCAAATGAAAGAGGCATTTTAAGATGAATTATGGGAATTGTATTAGTCACGTCAGTACTAGTCTTTGATTTTGGTATTTAGTTTTTTAATCATATCTCATGTGAGCTTGCCAACATTGTTGGTTAAAAATAAATAAAGCCTCTTTTAAAAGTCTGATTCATTGTTGTGCACCAAGCTGACTGCTTCAAAGGTGATTGATTCACTGTAGGTCTCTGTTCGGCCAGTAGGTGGCGATCTAGTATCAACTTTTAAACACTAGGGAGCTGACAAGTGTCAAAACTCAGCTCTGTGAATTAAAGTGAAATTAATGTCATTTTAGTCCACGACTTACTCTTTGCAGTTTCATGTTTAGACTGACTAAACCAGCTCACATGTAAACACGCGAATACACATTATTCTATGAAAAACACAGGAGCAAGGGTCATGTCCTCTTATATTTTCAAATCTTGCTTTGGTGGAACATTTGCACGAGGGGAGGCGACCACTGAAAACAGTACAAGACATATGTTGATTTTCCACATGAAGCTTGCTAACATGGAGGTCGTTGTTTCCCCGTTGTGAGGGGAATTATGATTAGGATTATACCCACAGTGTACATCTGATGAGTCAGACAAGCTTAACCCTGTTTTCACCTTAACATTTTATGTTTTATGTTACAGGGACTTGCTCGTTGTCCACATAAGGTGAGTGTGTGAGCAGATTTATGTCCCCACAAAACACACAAACATCTCACCGTGGTTGTCCGGCTATTGTAGCGCTCCTCGCCGCCCTCCACATTGACCTTGGTGTAGCTGTTCGGCGAGTTGAGCCAGCGCGTCTTCTCCCTCTGCTGCCGCTGCTGCAAAAACTTGAAGGGCAGGCGCGTGGCACAGTCCCCATCCTCCTCGAACAAAAACGCAGTGACGGTGGCAGGGATCTCCACATCGCTCTTGTGTCTCGGCTTCTCCCGGATGATGGGGTGTCTGTAGGCGTAACCCGTCCGGTAGCCCTGTGGCAGGAAACAAGATCATTCCATCAGATTTGGTCTGTTTGGGCTCACAACGAGCAACGACAAGGGAACAAAACCGCATGGCCTCAGAGGAAGCTAATTCATTTATTTGTACATGGTGTATGTTTATGTAGCCCCCCACTCTACTCCAGCTTCGACACGCTGCTGCAGCACAACAGAAATAAGCTCTTATTATTCTGTGACGTTTCCTTCCTGTAACGCTGGCTGAGCTGCCAGTTTCACAGTTAGTGAATGGAAAAGAAAGACAGAAACAGTGCAGTGGCCGCAGGGTTTCTGGCAGCGAGTCACAGTGTCATTTCCTGTCTGACCCTTTCTCTCTTGCAGTTCTCCCTCCATCCCCCTTTTATCCTCATTGTCCCTTTTCTCTTCTCTCTCTGTCTGTCGCCATCCTCTCACATGATCCCACTGGTTTTCAGATGTTTTTCCACATTAGGCTGACAGCTAAGATCCGTTCTTTTCTCTTTGGTCCTCTTCCTCTTCGTCTCAGCTGCACGGTCAAAGCTGACCTTTCAACTTGTATTCATCAGTTTTTATCTGGAAACAGTCAACAAGGTGGCCTAATCCTTTCCTGCAAAAATCCTGATATTCAGACAATCACAGCTGGAAGCTTGCTGCACATACTTGCTGTACTGCACTGGTTGTTAAAGGAGATTTAAGTTTGTGGATCCTTTATTTTCCTCCCACGTCTTTCTCATCACTGTATCTGGGTCTTGTGAAACTGAGAGCTTATCTGTGGCAAATGTTGTGTTTATGAAGTGAGCGAGAAGAGAGGGATGGTTAGAAAGGTCAGGAGACACAGAGACGAGCTGTTCTGAGGCTCGACGGGCTGATTTGTCGAGAGGGGGAAGAGCAGAGAAAGAGAGAAGGAAGAGAGGGAAATAGGCAGGCATATGAAGTGTGTCGTGAAAGAGGTGACACGGCAATGAAACGCTGCCTCCAAGAAATAACAAAGATGCTCTCTGATGTGACACACTCCAATCTTTGTGCCTCATTCCCCCATCTCTTTCATTCCTTTCCCAAATTACTTATCGTGTAAACATGTCTATTTTTTATTTGCTTGGATTTTTACCTTTGTCTTTCTGTCTGTTCATTTGCAAAATTACCAGGAAATTTGGGTGGAAGTATTAATAATAATAGCTTGAATTTATATAACGCCTTTCAAGAGACCCAAGGAAGCTTTACATATGTCCGGTTAGTTAAGGTTAAGTGTTTATATAAAGTGTAGTTATCCAGTGAGCCCTAGGCCCTACGATACACAGTATACAGTATATTTATTTTTTAACAATGCATTTGTGCCAAATGGACGGATCTCAGTCTCACTCTGACGTCTGTGGACTCACCAGGTTATCCAGCATCCTCATCAGAGCCTCAAACTCCAGCTCCCCGGCCTTCCACCTGATCTCGCTCACCATGTTGATGTCACCTGCTGTGGATATGTCGGCCGTTCGTGATTTGTACTTCTCCTGGTCCAGCAAGATCAGGTTGTCCACGCCGCCGGCACACGAGATGGCGTTCACCTAAACCCACACAGTAAGGGACAGAGAATGTGAACCTCTGATGGAGACTGGTGACATACAGTATGTAGCATACATTTAATGGAAAGGCCTTTTTTTAAAATAACCAAGCATATGTGGTATCAGATCATGCATCTCTATAAACAACACAAAGGGGACAAACCACAACGCACGCACAAGAAAGATGAACATTTTGCACAAACAAAATGAGATCCACCCACCCCCATTCTGAACCCACCACAGCATCAAGGAATATACAGTACATGGCATGCAACACCCGTGGCTGGGGGGATTTATTTATAGAAATTAAGCTGGGTTTTGCAGGATGGATTAATGTTTTCCTTTGCTTGACTGTCTGGGGACAGTCAATCAGGATATTTGGTTTTGCCTGCTACAGCTGAGTTAGGGGAGGGGGGCAGCACAACAACAGCCCAAGAAAACTCAACACAAAGACGGACAAGAATCTGACAGTGCAGAGGGATCCTATGAAAGCAAAATAAACTGAACAATACACAATGATTAAAATAATAAAATAAAATAAAAAGGTACAACAAGAACGCCATTATAAATTAAGTTCAACCCAAAAGCCAAGTAAAACACATTTATGATTATATGTTTGAAAAGCAACATGGTGTTCAGGTGTAGATGACTCAATATATATGAATTCTTTAAATCAAATTTCTGTTTTCACAAAAGTTGCACGACTTCTTCTTCTTTCCATGTAACCCATAACGACTGCAGAAGTCCTCCACGGCTACAGGTGAGAAACTGTAACTGTCTTATTTTTAAATATAACACATGAAATATGATTGTGAAGTATTAATACTAACTAATAATTAATTCTGAATAAATAAACAGTTAGATTTGTATTCCTCCCTCCTGATCCAGGCCCTTCTGAAAAACCCTCCATCATATTGAGTAAAAGAGAGAACAGCCTCCTTGTCTTCTTTTTATGTTGCCTTGGATCAACAACAACATCAGCTTCTTACTCCCCCCTCTAGCCTGTTATAGGACTGTGTTTAGCCAACATGTTTCTACATGACAAGAGATTATGACTATTGGAGGAAAAAAAAGAGTGGAGAAATGTGACAGTGGCTGTGGGGAGATTAGATTTTGAAGGGCAAGCTGCCACCGTGCTGGTCTAATTCATGTGCAGGGGAAACTGTGCTGGAATGTGCTGGGTGCCCAAAAACAGCAGCATGCAGTTAGCTGCGATGTGTGTGTGTGTGTGTGTGTGTGTGTAAGTGTGTGTGTACCTGGATTTCGCAAGCATAGTGGACAGTGTAGACTTTATTAAATGCCTCTTCGACGTTTTCCCCAAGAGCAACCACACCATGATTCCTCAGCACCAACACCTGCAACACACACAGAAACAGTGATTTAACAGCAGATCAGACTGAATGTGACTAAACATTTTTGCCACAAGCCTTTTGATTTATTAGTGACCAAAAAAACGTTCTGGATGACTGCGGCAGGACCTGGCAAAAGGCGGTGGTGGAAATTTCCTTGATTATGTTTAAAACTATGAGCCCATTATTTTCAGCTTTCTGAAATGTTCACTCCTAATACTTTTTCTTGTTGTGAGAGTGAGTGTAAAGTTTGAGTGTAAATTATTTATACTGAAATGGAATAATTGAATAGCTTTAGAGGTACTGGGATTTAGAGCTTGTTTCCTTAAAGCTAGGGTTGGTAATCCTGGAAAAGCTAGCAAGAGCAAGCTACACTTTGAAAAAATGCAACCAATCTTCTGCTCCTTTTAGAATGATGCAGGGCAACCTTACTCAGTTAGAAAAAGCTGTATTGGTTCTGGCACCGTTTAGGCACCAGTACCCTAATTACTAATTTAGATCTATATAATAATTTAACAGTGGTATCGAAAAAAATCCCAATGATAACCAACCCCACCAAACTCTTATATTTCTAGGTTTTCCTACCTTTGTTGTCGGCCCCAGGGCCTTCTGCAGGTCTCTGCGGTCCTCCTGGTCGTCCAGGCTGCCCTGGTAGTCGTAGTACGCTATGTCACCCAGGATCAATGCCTCCTGGGAAATGGGCAGGATTCCGCACTTCATAGATGACACCTAAATGATCAGAGAAGTGAGAAAAAAGGGAGGACAGACATAGGAAGGTTTAGAGGCTTTGACAGCTGCATTGTAGCAGTTTCATTCATCCAAGTTTGTAGCCTCAATTTTCCTCAGATGTTTCTGTGTGAAGAGACTGTACTCTTTGCTTGCATGAGAGTCATAAATGAATTCCTGCAGTGTAGGGTGCACATCACTATCACTTCAAGTATCAGTGCCTGTTTAGATAATTATTCCCTTTCAGTAGAGATGTTCAAGACGTTTTTCTCCAGTTTCATGAGTTCATCTGGGTTTGTTTGTTTGTCTAATATTTAGCGGCATTACCAAAAAACTACTGGATGGATCACCACGAAACTCGGATGTGGTATGGGTCAGTGAAGAACCCATTTTGGTGCAGATGTGGATCAGGGTGTGGATCCAGGAAACTTTTATTTCAGATTGCATGGTAGGACATTGTTGAACATTTTTGTGAATTTCTCAAGACATTATGCAGAGGTTAGTCATATGTACAACGCTAATATTTATGAACTGGTGAAAATTGGTGTCGATCTGGACAATTATCCGGATGTATCTTATGACAACTCATGATGAAGTGGCCAATCACCTTAAGGCACCCCTCGAGTATCCTTCAGTAATATGATTCCACAAATCTAATTTTTACATTTCCTTGAGAGAAAAACACTGTCTGATTTGGTTATCTATGAAAGCTGATTGCCTGAAAAAAAAAAATATATATATAAAAAACCCTTTATATAACCAGGATGCAGTGTAAAAACTCAAAAGGAGTTTAGTTTGTCCAGTCTGAGCTACTGTAAAAAACATGGCGGCCTCCGTAGAGAGGACCCACTCCTGATGTTAATATAAAGTTGAAGTAAATATAAACAACTTATTCTAGGGCAGAGAAAACAGCAATTTGTACAATTCAGATAATCACACACTAGTGAAAAGATCCGTTGGATTAATTTACATTGAATTTCTGCCCATGAATCCCTTTCACCCAAATCTTACACACTGCACCTTTAAGTAAACTTACGGCAGCCGTGGCAGGAGTGTGCACATGTACGATGCAGCGTATGTCTGGACGCATTGAGTAGATGGCGGCGTGGGGGCTGAACCCTGCAGGGTCGACCCTCAGGTTGGTGGAGCCCTGCTCGATCACATCCCCGATGATGTTGACCTTCACCTGGGGAAACAACGAGAGGAGACGGAGTCAGTTCTGATGATTTCTGAGTTGGATCTGGTGCTGGTGGATGTAAATCTCTGAACAGTCTTTTCTAAAATGGTGCACAAGCAATCAAACATAAGCTGTATGAGCTTCATGGAAGTTTTACAGCAGCATTATTTAGAGGGAAGGAGGAGGAATATAACAAGAGTGAAAGAGCGCACAAGGAGAAAACAGAAAAACTAACCAGGCCCTTATCAGTCTCATCAAATACACCCAGGTAATAACGGACATCCAGAGACTGACACACAACAAGATCCACATCCTCAAACACAAAAAAGACCTCCAACATTAACTCCAAAAACATGAATACAAGTTAAATCCAGTGCACGTTAAGACGCAAATCACATTATCAAACATTCCTCTCCTCTGTCTGCTTCTCCACACGAGATGAACATAATACTGTTAGAGACATGAACATGTCGACGTCTCCTATGAGTACTTCATTACCAGCCAGTTATTAGATTACACGACAGGAGAGAGGGAGGGAAAGATAGAGGTCGAGACCTGGAGGGAAGAGAGTCGGATAACCAGAGAGAATGAAGACAGAACTGGACAAAGAGACTAAGGCATAAAACCCGGAGCAAGAGCAATGACAAAACCCAGTGCAGATGTCAGTCCCTGCAGAAAGAAAACACATAACCAACAGAAAATCCATTTTTGCCTGCAGACCTCGTACAAAATTGATGTCACTGTTACCACATGTTCTGTGATATGAACCAGAACCTACGAGCTTGCATTTCTCTTTCATAATATAAAGCACACGTCTGTGCTATCACAACAGGAAGGGACATCCATCATGTAGTCTGAGGCTAATGAAATACACCCAGTACAGCTGCAGTCTGGAAAACATGAACTGAGGCTCTACTTCTGTTACTCAGGGCATTTCTTCTGAGACAAGTTTTGTGTTCCAGTAATAACTTTTAAAGTTCGAAGATGTACCAGAGTGTGTGCACCACCCATTTCCTCTCACCAGCCTCCCTCCCATGAAACCTCAGCTCCACTGGAAATATCTTGCAGACCAAAAATTAGTAGGAGAAATTAGTAGGCATATCAATTAGCATATTCACTACAAAAGTTATTTAAACTCAAGAAGAATAATTAACACTAATTAAAATCACATGATTAAGTAATCGATTAAACTTTAAATTAATGTTCTGTTTTAAACTATTAATAACCCAGGAGTAGCGCTTTTAACAGCCATATGGATGTGTGGATGAATGACTACATTGATCGTTAACCAACCAGAGGAAAGTGGATGGCACCAGCCGAGCGTAATTAAATACTGCCATCTTTGTCCCAGCGGTCAACGATCGAACATCGATTGGGTTACATCACATGTCTAATACAGTATTAGTTCACCCTGTTGCGTCCTTCAAAATGCTGCTCTCTCACCCCACAGCACCCTGTCAGAGACACAGTCTTACATCTGAGGGGCCCATCTGATATATAAAATATATATTAAAACTACCATGTCAAGACACGCATCAGAGAGAATCTGCAATGTGACTTGGTTTGATGTAGTTGAGTTGGTTATAAGTAATCTATAAAAAAAAAGGCCTGGCACAGAGAAAGAGGGCCCGAGGAAGGAGCTGAAACTTGGAACATGAAGTCACTGAATTCCTTGAGGATAATTCAAAGATTCACTTCTGATGCAAAGTCACGCTCTGTCATTACTAAGATGATGTTTGAAGCCAAAGTCTGATGTCAAACTGAACTAAAACTAAGCTCAAACTACAATATTCACCGAAACAAATTTCCCTGTGAACTCAAATGACCCTACCTCCACCTCAGAGCTCAAACAGAGACAGGGAGAGGGAGAGGCAGATGGAAAATGACCAAAGACAACTGTACTTCAGCCCTCCTCAGATCCTGCAGAGCCTCCACCAAGCTGACCCCGACACGACCTCCAACACTCTTTATTCTGGACGACTTCCTTTTAATCAATCTGAACACTTGAGCAACGAGCCATGTGACTGTAGAGGTCGCTGGAGATAAGAGAGAAACAGCAGCGACGGACTACCTTCCAAATACAAACAAACTTAAACACAGTCAGAGAGAGCTGACAGATCTACGCAGACGACATCATTTTGTTCTGTCCGCCAGCAGTTACTGTGTTTGTGGTGATTCCCACTTATACAGACAACCACAGCAAAGATGGACACGATCCAGACGCACAAACTATAAATACTCCATTTTAAATAATGTTGCCTTAGGATTCTAACTACTGTATAATTTACTCCACCAAGGAAATTATGTTTCATTGCCGTGTGTCTGTCAGTCAGCAGGGTTACTCAAAAACAACTGGACCCATTTCCATTACATTTTGTAGAAGGGTGGAGGTTGATCCGAAGAAAAAAAAACATATATTTCTGGAGCGGATTCTGATAAACGGGCAGATTCAGGATTTCTTCTTCTTCATCTTTAACATGGTATGTTGGGGCGTTGGTGGGGGAATGCACTCTCTGTGCACCTTTCTAGTTTGTACTTTAAGTTGCTGTTTGCAAAATGTTTGATTTGGAGTAATTCAACTTGTACTATATGTGTTTGTAGTAGTTAAGACATTTTAGGCTCTAAATGAGTCATTTTTCAGACACTAAGAAACATAAAAGTGTTCAGTAAAAAATACTTCAGAACTGGTCAATGCACACTATGTACTCAACAAAGCAACACAAACTCTGGATGGGAAAAACAACTTTGTGATTAAAGTTTGTCAGTTATGTAATATACATGCTAATGAATAAAAAAAATACCTCAGACATTTGTTTCCTACAGTAGTGAATACTGTTTGACAACTGATGTCATTTTAGAAACAGCTACAATAACCTGGCAGCGCAAATTAACTATTTACTTTTAGCTAACCATTAGCCAGCAAGACAGCCTAACTGCCTGTTCTGCATCAAAAACGGCACATGTTTATTCTTTGTCATAATGTATTTTGTGAATTAAACATGAGTCTGTTTATTAAAGGATTGTGGTAACATGAACAGCATCATGCAATAATTAACACAAAAAGCTAGGAATTACAAAACAGTCATTTTGAAGCAGCCACTATGCATATTTTGCCCTGTAAGCTTGAGCCAAATTGTTACACACATTGTTGCTTTATTTTATTTGGAAGATAAAAACATACATGTATCTTTACTATGCCCAAATTATGTTCGATTCTGTAGTTTAGTTTAATTTCTTAATAAAAGCGTAACTCAGCAATGAATCTGATTCACTTTTATGAGGCTTTGTTGTCAGACACCTGCAGAAGTTACCATCTGAACTTCAGCTGAGTTTCTTTGAATATCTCGTTCCTGCCAACAACTCTGGAGGGTCAAACAGTGAAATGTGTCTGTCAGCAGCAAGGCTACTACATCCACTGTCGGCCAGCACCTGCAGTAACACTACACAGGTGTGTGTGGGTACTTGTACGGATATCTTTGAGAGCCCACAACCTACAGAGTGAGGACATTTTGGCCGGTTCTCGCTTTCTGACCCACTTTCAATGGGTTTGAGGGTTAATACTTGGTTTTAGGGTTAGAATTAGGTTTAGGTTAGGGTTAGGCATTTCGTTGTTATGGTTAAGAGCAGGGTAAGGGCTTAGGAAGAGCATTATGCCAATGAGTGTCCTCACTAAGATAGAAGTACAAACGTGTGTGTGTGTGTGTGTGTGTGTTTGTGTGTGCACAGGTGTTGCAGATAAAGTAGAACAAAGCAAACAGAACAGAAATGAGAAAAAAGAAAGAAGATATGATGTGTGAAGTAGCTTTTATGTAAACTTTTGCAATGTCACAAATCATAAAAGGTGAATTATGTGGGATTTTTGTGGCTTAGTTTCGCGGATAAAAATAAAGATGCTTTTCAGCAGAGAAACCACATCTGCAAGTAACACAAGAGACATTCAAAGAATTGTATTACTACAGGGCAAGTTAAATTGATTCTTTTAGTATCCTTTCATGCTTTCTTTATTTCTGATTTCATGGATTATATTAATCAAATAGAGTATTTAAAAAGTACTATTCACCTGCCTGGTCATAGCAAGCACATGCCTTTATTTTATCCCGGTTATTTAGTATGTCTGTCTTATGTCTTATTTGTTGCTTACATTATTACTTACATTATTGTTTTTATTAACATCCCCATAAGGGTATTAAATCTTGTTTTAACAATGGGATTTTTGTCATTTCACCCTTTTCAACTCATTGGAATAAGCAGAGATGGAAACCAGGGACAGAAACAAGAGCGGGAGCAAAATAAAGAGACAAACAGATGGAAATACAAACTGAATTAGAAGAAGTTCAAATGCAAGGCAGGAGGAAATGAGGTTGCCAACAGATTATTAGGCAGGTTGTTACACATCTATCAGCATGGCATGCCCAGCGCTGTGACGACATGTGCACTCTCTGAACCAAAACTGGAGACAAACAGCCTGATCCACCCACGACATTTGCTGACTGGTTACAGGAAACCGCTCTCGTCAGACAAATGTCAATATGAGACCAACATGGCAAACACATAAACAGAGCGGGATACAGAGAGGGGGCGGGAGAGATGGAGGTATATTGTCTCTTGTGCTTATAGAAGACCAAAACACTGAACTGTGCTGTATCTACAATCTGCCCCCTGTATACAAGTCAAGGATTTTAATTGAAGGAAATAAATGGCTGATTAAGCAAAGTAGAAAAGTACAAGCCCTGTCCACTGGAGACCAAAACTTTAATACGCATCATGATATTTACAACCTATTTCATTTGATACAGACAACAATGCAATCAATGGGCTATATTAATCTTACACTATGAAGAAAATCAGTTTCTAAATGATCCTGTGCTTTGGGTTCAATTCTGGTGCTACACTACACGTAGAGCTATCTTCTTTTTACCTAGGCAGGTAAATGATCTCACTTTATTAACTAATGTTTTTGTTGCACTGCTGAAGTAAAATTATATTTTCTAATGCTGGGCATATAACTGAATATAAACAGTATGTTGATAATGGTCCACAGCTTATTTTTCTTACCAGGTTTGATGCAGATGCCTCAGCGTATGACAGACCTCTGGGGCTGATAAGGATGTGGTCTTGCTCTTTACTGACTCGGGCCTTAGAGAGAGAGAGGAAAAAGTCATTTTGTTATTTGAACAGATTCAAAAATAATGGCAACTGACCTGAGGAAGAATAGGTGTTTGAAGAATGAGAATTCAGAAGGTGACTATGTTAACATGAACACCAATATTCCGACTACTGACCTTAATTTGAATTTCGGTTATGGTGTTTACTTAAGTTGCTACTAGAAAATTCCATTCCCTTTAACATGTTACAGAGCATAGTCTGATTCAAACTACTTGTTTAAACTCGAACCCAGGGCATGTGTCATTAGGAGCTCTTAACCATCATGTGTTGATATCTACATAACACGACTGATGTCTGGATACTACTCATTTCTTAATTAGAATTTAGTTCATTCCGAGTATGACCTTATTCGTGTTGAGTTAATCAGAAAATGCTGTTTAAGTATTTGGACAGTGACATTGTAATTTGGCCTCTGTACATCACCACAATGGATTTGAAACAAAGCAATCAAGATGCAATTGAAGTGTAGAGTTTCAGCTTTAATTCAAGGGGTTTAACAAAAATATCACATCAACTGTATTGGAATTACACCCATTTTTATCCATAGTCCCTCCATTTACAGAGGCTCAGAAGTAACTGGACAATTTACTGAGTTGCAGTTTTATGGCCAGCTGTTACTTGGTCTGGAGTTCCAATTGATTTAATTTGCATTTGGTAGATGTTCATGGACGGTGTTAACATGCTTTCCAAAGAGATGCAGATGCAACTGAATGAGGCCATGATTAGGCTGACAAAACAAAACAAACCTATCAAACAGACAGTTGAAACTTTAGCAGTGGCCAAATCAACAATTTGGTACATTCTTAAAAATAAAGAATGCACTGGCTAGCTCAGCAACACCAAAAGCCCTGGAAAACCACAGAAGACAGAAAAAACATCTTAACATCTAGAAAGTCAAGAACACTCTCAAGGAGGCAGAAATATCATTGTTAAAGTCTACAATCAAGAGACGCCTTCATGAAGGGTTTACCAAAAGGAGTAAAACACTGGTAACACAGAACAGGAAGGCCAGATTAGACTACGCCAGAAAACATTAAAAAAAAACCTGGCCAGTTCTGAAAAAAGGTTCTTTGGAAAGATAAAACCCAGATGAATTTGTACCTGAATGATAGTAAGAGAAAAGTACGGAGAAAGGAAGGAACGGATCATGATCCAAAGCATACCACAACATCTGTCAAACATGGGGGAGGCAGTGTTATGGTATGGGCATGTATGGCCACCAGTGGAACTAGGTCACTGGTGTGTATTGATGATGTGTAGCAGGATGAATTCTGAAGTGGGTCGTGCAGTACTATCTTCTCAGATTCAGCCAAATGCTTCAAAACTGATAGGACTGTGCTTCACAGTACAGATAGATAGTGACCCAGAACATACTGCGAAACCAACCCAAGAGCTTCTCGAGGCAAATGGGTTATTCTTCGTCAGTTCCCCCTCCCAACTGAGCATGTTTTTCACACACTGAAGACAAAACTGAAGGCAGAACGACAAACAAGCAGCAACCGAAGGCAGCTGTAGTAAAGGCCCTTATGTTAGTTTGTCCAATTACTTGTGAGCCTCTGAATATGGAGGGGTGATGTTTAAAAATGGCTCCTATTCCTAAACATTCATCACCCCCCACCCTCCCTTTAACTAAAGCTGAAAGTCTGCACTTTAATCACATCTTGACTTTCTTTGTTTCAAATCCACTGTGGTGATTTATAGAGGCAAAACTACAAAAACTGTTTCACTGTCCACATACTTATGTACCTGACTGTATCTTGTAACTATATCAGTGAAAAACCAAAGATCACAGTAAGACTAACATGGAAATACAAGACAAATCAGTGATCCAATCTCATTAAATCAATCATATACTCATCTATTCATACTGTTTTCATAACTCACGAGTGTCCACACTTTAATCCCTCTTTTAATCCCCTGCCGCTCCTCCTGTGTTGACTTACCGTGATGTAAGTGTTAGTGAAGTGCGACCAGTTGAACAGGTCCACAAGTCTGTAGAGGCTGGCCAGTTTACAGCGCGTCAGCTTCTCGCCTTTCACCATCGTGGTGGATTCCACTCCGTACATGTCGTTGATGGGAGTGACCGCCCCCAGACCTGGAGGGGAAAAAAAGACAGGAATGAGTAGAGTTAAAAAAGAGATAACAAAGTTTGGCTGTGTTTTCTAATTGGGGGGCGGTAAAACAATATTGTCTCCCTTGTGTAAGTGCAGACACTTTTATAGTTGCAGATCACATTCTCCACTAGTAATATTTGAAACTACACAGGGACTCAGGACTGCAACATCTGGATTTCTATTTAACGATTTCCTGTATCCAACACATCTGGCTCCATATCAAACATTTGACTAATTTACACACTGACATGTTTCTAACAACACTCCTTCCTTTGAAAGTGTGTTTACTGCCACGCCTCCTCAGACTCCCTCATTATAGTGGTATTATAGTGAAAGAGCTGAACTGAACTATTATATTGACTTTGACATTTTCTTCAGCATTAGTTGTGCATTCCAGCCCTGTGATTGGAAGCAGACTTCACATATGGACTCCTGGATAGAACTCACAAAGGATCAAAACTTCGGGAAAAATGCACGGCTCTTCCGGAGTCTGGGGTTGGGTTGTCTTTTGGTATTTGTGCCTTTAAGCGCACAAATCTCATGTTTGCATATCTTCTCTGTTCAAATAGTGATGCCGAGGGTTTGGTTTTTCAGTGCAGATCAAAACAGTGGCCTCCTGGGTGAGGGTGTGTTCCTACTAAATGTCAGTGCCCGGTTGCCCCGGGAAGCGGGATGCAGCACTGTGTGCACTCACTGAGGGGGGAGCTGTTGAAACCAGCCACTGAGCTGGTCATGAAGAAGTCTGCAATCTGTCTGAGGGCGAGCAGGCCGCTTGGGTTGTTCCCCTTCTTCTGCTGCTCATGGATCAGACCCTCCAACTCCTCCTTGAAGGCCTGGAACAAAAGAGAGCAGAGTAAGAGTTGAGAGAAATAAGCCTCAGATTTTCCTAATCAAGAAGGGTCCAGGTCCTGCATAGGTTTTCGTCACTGTTGTCAAGCTTCATCCCACACACCAAATACATGGGAGTTAATTGATGACTCTAAATCGCCTGTAGGTGTAAATGCGAGTGTGGGTGGTTGTTTGTCTCTAGCCCTGTTAACATCCGTCCTGAGAGATCTGATCACAAGAGGACAGCACCAAGTATGTGTGTTCACACCAGGAATGAAAATGCGTCCCGAATGTGTCTCTTGTGACTGAATTTTATATGCAAATAATCATGTATGTCATTTGTTTTCACAAAGACCAAATGATGTTGTTTTTACTCAGTCTGACTTCACAGATGTCTGTGTGTGGGTGTTGGCAGGAGTGAGAGATGGAGAGAACGAAAGCGAGCTGAGTCATGGGGGCTGAATGAATACATGTGCCCAGCTATGAAGAAAGAGTGTAACCAATATAAAAAAACATATCCATCATTATGTGGTTATCAGTGTTTATATTGGAGCTGTGATTCCTCAGAGGAAATAAAAAATATGTTTGAACGGTAGCAGGACAGAGGACGTTAGCTGAGTGTTTGGTCCTTCACAATTGGCCGAGGACACATTTGCATTCCCACAGCGAAAAGAAAGAGGCCACATTCGTCCCAGACCGACCCTGCATGTGGCTGGAGTAAACATCTAAATGCATTTGGATAAATATTTCTTTTGATTTTAAAACCATTTTTCAAGCCAGAAAACAAACACTGTCATGTGACCAGTATCTCTGTGCTATAAAATCAAGCCCTCACTTTAAGTTACAATATACCATGCTTCAATGTGTGGCTTAAACTGTTAAAATTCCTTCAATTAACTTTAAAGAAGAAGCGTCAGGTATGTCAACTTCCTTGGGTTATCATCAAACTTAAAATGAAAAAAATGTGATGAGGCATTTGAGAGCAGAGGGCTGTAGAGAGCAGGGGATTAGTGGTGACAGTGATGACAGAGTGAAAAAGATGTGGGAACGTGTAGAGAGATGAGATGAGTGCAAATAAAGAGAGGAAGAATGAGAAGGATTACACACGCTCCTCTGGTGTCAGCGTGACTCGTCCTAACAGGGCACCAGATGAAGCTGGATCATGATAGGCTCGCTTCACAAGAAGCTGAGTCAGGACTGGCTGTGTGACGAGCTCTCAGCCTGCACTATGATTGGCTACTGGAAGTGACTGGGAGAGAGTGTGGATAATCCTGTCCCTGTCCAGACTGCAGTCATCAGCTGAATCCACAGACACAATAATACAGTATATGCTGACACGCTCTTATGCAAGACCAGATAGACACACACAGCTGGATGCATTATGTCATGTCAAGCACTGTATGATTTGATGCTTTCACTTTCCTTCAAAGAAAACGTTCATGATCATGTAACAGCTCCTGAAATGTTCAAACAGCAAACACAGGCTGTGCAACTACTGCAGACATGTTATACACTCACCCAGCTGCAGCAGGAAACAACAGACCAGGTTATACTGTGTGTGTGTGTAGCTCCTGATAATCTCAGCGGTCACACTCATCTCTGCTGGCTAATGCAATTAAAGCTGTGACCAGGGCGGACGATTTCAACACGCAGACCCAAACAGGAACACGTACTGTATGTGTATAAACCGAGCCACATCTTGAGAGTGGTAGATGTTCTCATTACAGCAAGAGAAAGCATATTAAACTGTCAAACATTTTAAAGTTATTATATATAGGGTCATATTGCCTACATCTGACAGTAGCCTCTTTTCCACTTGTCAAATATCCCACTTTTACCTACTAATATCTGGCTTCTGTTTACAATGGGAATGGACGCAATCAGAATTCAGTCCTAAGTTAAATGACTCTGCAGTAGACACAGGATTGAATCGGCTCCAATCGGAAGTTATGGAAACATGACACCAAGGTGAACTTGTTGGTGAGAGCACCTTGGTTTTTGGTGCGCTTGTGATGTCAAACCGGGAACAATCTGAAAGTCAATCACCTTTTATTAGAGGGTTAACCAGCTGTTAAAAAAGCTAGTTTTGGAGTAAATGAGGTAAGTGACAGTTGTGGGACGTGAGGGACGTGAGGGACGTGAGGGAGAGAAAGAAAGGCAAGAAAAGTCCACAGCCTGATTCGAAGCTGGGACATTGTGATTTGTTATTGGGATTGTAAGCACCTCAACTGTCTGCATTGCATCTTGCAACTTGTGGACAAGCAGATCATTGACAGAGCCATATTAATAGAAACACATGATGTTCTGATCTACAGCATGTTCATAAAGTTTCAAAGTAAAGCTGGAGTTTTTATGAGCTGAGTCGATATCCGACCACCGGTGGGGCTCCCGATAGTTCACCGTGCTGAGTGGGTAACCATGTACGGAGGACTCTGCAGCGGCTACAGGTTCAGTTCGGACACAGACCTGTGCTGCACGTCTTCCCTGCTCTCTCTTCCCCTTTCATGCCTGATTACTGTCCAATGAAACTCAAAGTGCCCAAACATATCATTCACATCATCATCAAACATTCCGTGTTGCATGTTTATATTCTATGACTTATAACCTGCTCTTCTGACATTTTTCTTTTTTCTTTTTGGTATTCATGACTCAGAATTCTTTTGGTCTCAAGCAATGCTCAATCTTTCCAACATTCTAATGACGTTTTCTCCATCTGGTCAAACTTTCTATCAGAACAGTGTGAGAGTGAAAACAGGCCATGACACTGCGTCCATTTGATGACTCCTCTAACAGGGTGACATCAAATATTCATACATTTACTTCATCTCAGTGTTTAGTTCAGTCAACACATTCCAATAGAGCTGTGTCTGCACAAAAACATCTCTGACATATAACTGCCTCTTGTCTTTGCCCTTCATGTCCCCTCAGGCCTCCCATGGGACGCTCCATTAGTGTTACCCAATGGATTGGGGGGCCTTTAGTTTTATGCCCATGTGGTGGTGTTTTGTTGAAACTGAAGCAACCCGTACCCCCACCCCCTGTGTCAGGACACATGCAGTTCTGTGGCGCTGCTGGTTCTGAACCCCGGCCAGACATTCCTTTATCTCTAAAGACGAGGTTCCTCTGGAAACTGGCCTGTTGCGGATTTGTCTGACAGCGGAGGGGGTTCTTGTGCCATCACCCTGACATTGGACCCACTCTACCAAACTGTGACACTGACTTGACTGAAACATTTGCACATATGAGGTCCCGGCAGTGTCTAGAGAATCAGGCCCTTTATCACATCACATGCAGCACACAACTGTAGATCATCTGTGTGAGAAGTGTTCACACCTACCGGCTGGTTAGACTACAGGAGGCAGTATAGAAACGCCATCAATACGCCCACACACACTCTGCAATTCTCTGGACAATGACCGCCTCTATCCACACATTGGTTCAATCAGACATTATCCTCGTGAGACACCCCTTCCAGGCAGCAAAACTTTCATGACACTGGACTGTGGTGGTTTGGAGTGAAACCTATTAAAAAGCACATGAGCACAACCACACACAGAGCAGCAGGCATCTGCTCTACAGTTTGTGCATGTGTGTGTGTTCCCAAGAAGATTATGACAGCAGGGATTTGATTCCCATCATAGAAACAGATTAATCCAGGGACCTAAAGTGGATCGTATCATTCATATTTAGGCGAAATCCTGCACATCTGCAGCAGTGAAAACAACAGCACATGTCAAGTTTGTTTTTTAGCTGCTGCGGTGGCGTGTCTTCTTTTCTTTTTAAAATCACACTCTCACTTCAACAGAGAATGGAAGTCTGGTGATACAAAAAATGACTTTACATTGTTACAGTTGCAGCTCAATCACACAAATGTATTCTACCCTGCCAGATTATAATCACTGACAACCAGGTAGAGCAGGTCTATGCACTTAGTGGTGGTTAAAAAATTCCATGGCTTCTCTGAAATGACAAAAGCTAATCTTTTAAAATGTAGCTGCGGCAGTCTTGAGGGTATTAAGTGGACCTGCGGACTGGAGCTTATCCAACTCCTCAGTGGAGACGTCCAAGCCAAAAACTGGAGAGAGAATAGAGACGTGGCTATGCACAGTAATACAATTTTACCATGAGAAATCTAACACAGATCCTTCTGAGGAACACAATCCGACAGAAAGGTTTCAGACATTCTTAATCTCAAATCTAGGTCCTTGTTACATTATTGGTTCTTGTGGGGATCACTGAATTCTATGTTTCCTCCACTGGGCAGTCTGAATGATCTGCAGACAAGCACAGGATTCATGTCTCAGTTCAGGAAATTAAATCAGGGCCGATGTGACCTACAAGTGTTTCATCACCACTTCCCTGCTTGGTGCATGGTGAACAAAAAGACTTGTTCACCTGATTCTCTCTCGCTGAGAGACAATAGAAAGTTTCCTCCACCCTCTTACTATAACAGGAAGTTTCTAGTCTTCCAGGAGCTTGTGTCATCATTGCACTTCCAGAGAAGTTTCCTTTTGTTGTGATTCCCTTGTTTCTGCTGCAGTTATTGTTGCACATTCATGTGACGCTAGAAATGCTGCACGTCATCCTGTGGGAAAGGAAGGCAGGACTTTTTATATCTTGGTTGGGCCAAGGACTATACTGCACATTTGATTGTTTGGCCTGATCAAAAAATTGTGTGTCACTCCCAGTTTCATCATCTTCACATATAAAGTAACGCAGCAGGAGCTTGTTAACAAAAACACAAAAATGTCTGTAACATTCAGATGAGGGGTGGTGCCTGAGTAGAGCATGTAGGATAAGATAAGTGCTGCAGTGTTTTTGTTTACAGCACGTTGACACTGGCGTCTGTCCTTATCACCAGAAGCTCTCGAATCAAATTGTCTACCAAGACATCTTCCTTGGTGTCTTTTATGTGTATGACACCTGTTTTTCATTCTGAGACATTTGTATTCTTCCAGTTTTGCGTCATCAACACACCCACTGTGAATTCCCCTGCTGTTTGTTC